GGAGGACAGTGGCAGGATTATAGCTCACTGCAGCCTCGAACTTCTGGGCTCAAGCGATCCTCCTGCATCAGCCTCCCTAATAACTGGCACTATAGCTGTGCAATACCATGCCTGGCTAATATTTCTTATTTTTTTATAGAGACAGTGTCTCGCTATGTTTCCCATGCTTGTCTCAAACTCCTGGACTCAAGCTATCCTCCTGCCTTGACCTCCCAAAGTGCTGGGATTACAAGCATGAGCCACTATACCCAGCAAATATGCCTAGGACTTCTGAAACTCCTGAGGGATATAGGCAAAGAGAAAGTTTGAAAGTGTTCAGGAAAGGGTCAAGGGAAGTAGGCAAAGCCCTGGAAGGAGTCTTTATAATGAATAACTGAAAAGCTGCCTTAAGCCATAAAACATCTGTGGATTTTTCATCATCTTTATTTATTTTGTTTAATGCAGTCTTTTAGAAAGTTATTCTCAGTCCATAAGTCACATCTGCATACAGTAATTTTCTTAATTGTTCCTAAATTTTGTAAGGCTGACCCCACTTCCTCACTGCATAATGAAAGTCAGGAAGATAATGAGCCATGAATAGCGGGGTGTCAGAGTTATGCAAGCTTTCATTCCTCACACAGTCATTTTCAGTTTGTGCAGACAGAATAGTTAACATCTTAAAATGTTAATGAAATCACCAAAACATGGCATTTTCAGCTTGGCTTTTAGACTAGAAAAATCATTTCTCATGGCAGACTACATGGATATAATTACAGGGATAAGAGCTTTTATTCTTGCTAAGTGCCCTCATGCCAGAGTAAATATCCATCATAACTAAATGCAGAAAAAACCATTTGGGGACCAAATGTATAGCATGATCAATGTGTTTACAAGTTTTTTTATTAAATGTTAATTGTTTGGAGCAATTATAGGTGGTATATCATTTTGGTAACACCTCCCGAAGTGCATATGCATGGGTGATTTTGTTCAGCCAATGACCATTTGTTGAACCAGTGTGAGGTAGACAAAATGAAAACTTGAATTCTGCCATTTAGAGCCGACAGTCTAGTCCATGAGGTCAAAAGTAAGTAAATAGTTACAAAACAATGGGATATGTGATTTTTAAGAATAGAGATATATTCAGATACGGAGAGAAGGAAGTAATTAACTCTTGAGATTTGGTAATGAAGGAAAAAACACTGGAGCTGGATCTCGATAAATGAATAGGGGTTCTCAGGTTTGGAACAAATGCACAGGCAGTGGAAATGGCATATGCAAATTCATCAAAATCTGAAAGAGAAATTTAGCACGATTGAAGCATTAAATGCATATGAAAAGGATTTGAGATGATTTTGGAAAAGTCATTAATTTGGTAATATCCTACACAGGGCTTTTATGTCACGCTAAGGAGTTTGCATTTTATATGCATAGAGGATATCAGTTGAATGGGAGAACATTGGCCATGACATATTTATAAAATCATAATCCTGTAACAAATTAACCAAATAAAGTAATACTGTGTAAAAGCCTTGCAAGTAATTTTTAAAAGCCATTAGAATATAAAAGTTTTTTTTTTATTTCTCAAAATTGGTTTTAGCCTTGCCCACATTTACTCCCTTGCTGCATTCTGAATGCTGGGATCTGGTAAGAGTCAACAGGACTTCGAGGATCTACCTGCTATTCCAAGGATTAGGATTTGCACATGCTTATCTGAAGGCCCTAAGTGCTAATGAATTCATTGTTCCTAGAGAAAGAGTTCCCTGGTTGAGTTAGTCATAGTCTGGCCAAGGGCATTTATCCTTTTTTTAAGAATTCCAAGAGTCTAGACACTGACAGACACCTTATTCTTGCTCTGAAAAGTCCCTGATCCTTTGACTAATTAACCACAGTCCTGATAGTTTATTCTAGCTACTAAGTGAGTTGTAGAATAATCTTGCCTTTTTTCTTTGAATAGTTTCTGCAGTTCTGTTCTGTATCGCATGAGAATTATATTAAGTAGGCAGTGATTAATTTATGTATGCATTCGCAAATATTTGTTGAAGTTTACTAATATTAGGTTAAGCTTTTGGCTGGAGACACAAAAAATAGAAGACAAGGGGCCTTGCTCTTAGGAAGCTTATAACCCCTTCTTCTGTTCTTCCACCAGAAGAGGATATACTATATACTCGTCTAATTATTCATAGTTTTATCCATTTTTCTTGACTTGGCTGTTTGCTATTATTCTTCATTGGGACAACACCCATTCTACCAGTGATTATCCTCTGGCATTTGCTGGCATTTCTAGGTGCCCTCCTCAGTTGACTCAGAAGCATGGTCTAACATGTTAGAGCCTCTCTCCTCCAAGCTATGTTCATCTTTATATTTACCAGGTCAAACAATACCAATAATCACTGGCCTTTTATTAATAACATTTAATAAATAGTTTAATTATTGATTCTATATATATTATTAAGAACTTATAATGTACCAGGTATCACGAGGCACTAGGAAATCTTCAGGA